TGATTGACAGGCAGCCTAGCTTGCATAAACACGAGCTCGACTTTCTCCATGTTCCTCTGGGGTTTTATCATTTACCAACTTGTTTTCCTACTGAGAGGAAAACAGCCAAAGGCTGACAGAAGGCTTTATACCAGGCAGAAGATCAGAAACCCAGCCCTGAGGGACCCCTTCTTGAAGTTTGTGCATGCACGGGGCAGGGAGGGACAATCTTAAGCCATCCTTTCTTGGTGCCCCCTTCACCTAGTTCCTATTTTGGGCCAGATCTGTCCTGAAAACTTGCCTCCTATCTTATTCCTTCCTCTATACTCCCAGTCCCCCCAAAAATCTCAAACACCCTTACATTTAATTTCTGGGTGGGGTGGGGGATCTCCACAATTCTTAAATGGTTTGTGTAAAATTCCGAAAAAGCCGACAATACTCCGTGCCATGTTCCCAACGCCCCAAGTCAAGGCTGTTCTTTGACACGATTCAGGCCAAACACACTGCTGTATTTAGAGGGACCAAACCCGCCTTGCTTGTCTCTAATCCTGGGAAGATGTGCTAGGCCAGGGCAGGGGGTGGGGGCTGCTGGGAGACCAAGAGGGGAAGATGACTGGGCCTCCAAGCCACTCAGGAGCATCTGTGAAGATACAAGACACACAAGTCAAGGGGCCACAAGACTTCAGTTCCATGTTTAATGCAGGAAACCAAAGCTCTGTATGGAATCTTGAATTTCTGGGGGAGGAGGGAGAGGAGGGAAGCATGTGCCTATCTGCCCTCTCCCAAGCTCCAGGAGGCTGAGCCCCCAGGTTCAGTGACCCTGTCCCTGGACAATACGGATGTGGATAGCTGGATCTGCTAACACTGTGTAACACATGCACCGACCCTTTCCGCCCCCCCTCAGAAAACATAGTGAAGAAAAAGACGCCCTTAATTTTTAGTGACCCTTGCCTTGTGTGCTAGCCAAGGCACCCCATGCCACAGTACCAAGGGATGGTGATGACTCCAACAGAATGTGGATGTGGCTCCAACAGAAGCCTAGATGCCATGCAGCCGGGACGGAATGGCCCTGCAGACATGTGCAGCGCTCAACGGCATCCTGCAGGCCAAGCCCTCGTCTGCTCCACAAAACACAACTCCACTCTCAGGCGGTGCACCAGAAAAGATGTCTGGATGCCATCGAGGCACCGTCCCCAAGAGCAAGATGCCAGAGCAGGAGAGAAGTACTGCTTATGGAGATGTGAGCTTACTTGACGCAGCCGCGTTGGCGTAGGGGCGCACGGGGTCGAGGAGAGCCGTGTGCTACGTGGAGACCAGACGCACGGATTCCGGGGTAGCGTACGTCAGCCAGATGTGCATCAAGGACTCATGACGTCTGCTGACACTGACGGGGTATTCCGATGGTGGCACCTACTTTTTCTAGTGGTCGACACCAGCACGCCTTACCACCCCAGCATCAAGGAGCAGACAAAATGCGGTCAAAGCAGAGAGCCCTGCGGTGAGAGTTCCCTGGCCAGAAGACGCTAAGCTCTCTGTGTAGCCTGCTTTGTCCCGAGCGGACTGTCCGGAGAATCGAGGGGTGAGGCCCCAGGAAGCAATCGGCTAAGCTACCCACAGGCATGTTCCCGCTGTCTGTCCAGACTGCTCCTCTGGGGACGGCAAGATCAGAAATCGGAGAGTGCACACCACCGCGGGGCCCATTGCAGGAGCAAGCAAGGCCCACGAGGCGAGACAGCGACGACCAGCATGCTGCCCCGACCCGTGTGCCATGCGGATGAGGAACTGGGTCACCTGGAGCCACTATGCGTCGCTCTCAACACCTGAGGGAGTCCAGCGACGCCAAAACCTACACTTGGGAGTGAAAAACTAGTGAAAGACTAGGCAAAAATGCTTTTCATTTTTACTTACAAGAAGTTTCAATATTCAACATTCAGGCAAATACAAATTTTCAGTTTTTGGCAATTCAAACCTGAACCAACTGTAAACCGCCAAACCTTCTGACAAAGCCACTGGATTTTTAAAAACAAATCTCTTATGGGTGACAGAGAAACAACGACTTAGAACAAACTAGGCAGGGATGTCGGGGGTAAACTCTGGACCGTGGCTTCTCGCCCAGAGCGCACTGGGACTGACATGAGGGCGCTCTGGGGGGTCACTACCGCCTCTCAGGCAGGTGGGAGCAGCAGGCATTCCATTTAGTACGGACCGCCACAGATTACACACGTTCTTGGCTACCGTGAACCATTTCTTAACAAAAAGATAGTGACTGCCCAAAATACAGCATGGGAACTGAGCAGCACATAGGACGAGAGATGTGAACGTGGGGACGCCGCCAGCTTCCACTGCACGGGCAGGTGCCGGCCCACCCTCACTGCCAGCCCGGACTCCTCACACGCGGCACACTCACCCCTCGCACACGCCACACTCACCCCTCGCACACGCCACACCTGTCCTGAGCCTTGACCAGAAGCTCATGTTCTTTACTGAGGGGTCACCAAAAAAGGGCTGGTCCAAAGCCACCGTGGGGACACGAGGATGGGAAAGAGCAGTTAATGTCCAGCAGCCCACTGCATTTTGAGAAGAACCTGATGTCTACCCAAGTCACTCCCCAGCGCAGCTGAACAAGACCCATCCCTGCTACTCTGCGTGTTCCGTCCTGCCGGCACCCTCGCGGCAGGTGGAAGCATCTGGGGTGTGCTCCTGACCACTGGGGAGGGCAGTGGCACGCCTCCCCAGGAGCAGAGCTGCTGTGCAACAGTGGCCTGGGAGCCATGATGCTCAGGTTCAAATCTCCGTCGTCTGGGAAGTTCTGCATCTGTGCGTGTTTCCTCATTCAGGACACGAGGCTGGCTGACACCCACTGCGGAAGACTGTACTGGCAGCAGACGTGCCAGGGTCTGTAGGCGAGGCTGACTCCTCCCGCAGGTGGCCGGCCCGCCCGAGCGTGGCTCTCTCCGGCCAGGCTCAGCAACACCACCATCGTCCAGGCAGCGTCCGAAAGACTCTGCACGGCAAGCTAGAGAGTGCACGGCAGCCTCTCAGCTTCCAGCTTCCTCCTAGGGTACCACGTGCAAGGAAGCCCAGAACGCAGCCTTAAAAGCATTGAAGAGCCACAATCAGAGGCCCTGGCCGTCCCTTTACCACGACCAAGTGGTCTGTGTGTACTGGCACGAGACGTGATGCAGAGAGGGGCAGACAGCACGTGGACCGCTGCGCCGTCTGCAGTCCCAGCTTCACGGTGGTCAGGAGCTCACGCAACACTACAGAATCATGGACGCTGAGCTTATGGACATCATCTGTTTCAAAAATTGAGATCTTGGGGCGCCTGGGTGCCTCAGTGGGTTAAAGCCGCTGCCTTTGGCTCAGGTCATGATCCCAGGGTCCTGGGATCGAGCCCCGCATCGGGCTCTCTGCTCAGCAGGGTGCCTGCATCTCCCTCTCTCTCTGCCTGCCTCTCTGCCTACTTGTGATCTCTGTCAAATAAATAAATAAAATCTTAAAAAAAAAAATTAAAAAAAAATTGAGATCTTTACTTTTTTTTTTTTTAAAGCACCTTGATAATATCCACCAAGTGCACGTCTGAAACAGAAGTAGAACTCGACCTGCACGTGGGGGATGTCTGGGCGGGAGAAGAGCCTAGGTTTCTAGGATCCTAGAGGAGGGGCACAATCTTTCAGCAAGGATTCAAAGTGAGACGAGATGTTGTCGCCTGCACCCTCAGCCCCGCGGCACACACCTGTGGTCCGGGGACGGCGAAGACCCGCCCCGAGGGAGTAAGTTCTTCTCTGCTCAGTGTCAGCCACTTCTCCAATTCCTATTTGGGGCATCAGGGACAGTTTTCTTCCCTTCCGCCCTCTGGCCCTCTGGCTTACAGATTTTCAACCGAAATGCGGCCCGTTAACACTCAGCAGGCTTTCAAGCTGGAAGCCTTCCTCAACCCCTGGCCATCAGGCCCTGTCCAACCATGAAGGCCACAGCTGGAGTCACCACCTGACAAGCTGTGTAGACTGTTCCTGATGCCTGAGAAGCCCTCTGCTGAGTGTCACCAGAGGGAAGACACACTGGCTGGGCCCTCTGTGGACCACTCCCTAGGGCCCACAGGTGTTCTCACCCCCAGGTGCCAGTCCAGAGCCCAAAGCCGCCCCCCGTCCCAAGACAGCTGGGACATGATGCCCCAGATGCCCTCTGTGACGGGTCTTGCAGGATTGTCCGTGTTGCTCTGATATGCACCTGTTGCTAAAGGACATTTGTCGCTGCGTGAAGCAAGTAATGTTGGTTGCTAGTAGCAGCACAGATTGAACCATTTTTGTGGAGGAAAGATGCCAGCGCGGAATCACCAATGCTTCCTTCTCACCTGAAAAAAGCGAATTCAGACTCTGAAGACAAATTTTCATCTGGCAAAGCGCCGAGAGCACCCCAAACTATGAAAGCACCACAGAGGCTTCTGTCACGAAGGGTCTCGGAACAGGAGGTGGCACAGCCGTTCTTCGGGCACAGAGCCTTGATCCCAAGGGCGGCTCCTTGGGGTGAAGCACGGACATGTCCTTCCTAGTGCTGCAGTGTCTTTGGGACTGTGAGACCCCCAGCAAAATCCCCACTTGCTCCCTTAGCCAGACTACTTGGAAGTCCAGGGAACTCTAAAAGTTAGACTCTGAGTCAGGATGAGTGCTCTCAAACATCAGACACCCTTAGGTCTGAGGTTTTACAGAACGCTGTGAGCAAAGCATGTGACTGACGGGGCACACCCAACAGTCAGGGGCGTGCCTAAAAAGTCAAAATTCACATGAACCCTGAGTTCAAAGACACTACTAGCTAATGTGGGGCTAGGGAAAAGCAGAAATCATGTTTTCTGTTGAACGAGGCCCTCGGGAAGCCTCCTGATCTGAAGGAAGCCGCGTGACTGAGTCAAGTGTAGGGACGTTTTCCTCCCTTTCCCAAATAAACCAGAGGCTGTGACTCATGACGCATTCTCCCTCATCAAATACAACCCGGGTTTTCTTTCGAACAGGTAAAGGGCATACCTCCTCCCTGCATCATTTTGTAGATTTTGCTCTCAATGTGGAGCTGAGGGTGTTTGGTTTTGACGCATTCAAGCTTGATGGCAACTTCTTCTCCGGCAGCAATGTCCGTACCTTGGCAAAGAAAGAAAACAGCAAACGTTAATAACCTGGCGTCGACCACCTAATGCAACGCACAACACACTACACACCCTCCGCTCCGCTTTGCACTGTGCAACGCTGTCGGTAGTTGACAAACCCCATGGAGAATCACTATTACTTTCACTCTTTAAGCTGGAAGCCTTCGATATGTGTAGAAAAGTCTTACTTCGTATGCCCTCACCCACTTCCATAGGTCCCCACTCTGATCACATCAATAGGGGACTCAGAGACAGGGCAGTGTCCTCCTCTCTGCAAGCATTCCCATCTTTGTTGCCCTGAACCTTCCAGTCCACCTACTGGTCAGCCCCCGTGTTCGCCCACCCAGGGCCAAGCAGTGGGGGAGTTCCAGGGTGACTGTATGTTCCCCGTTTCTCCATGCTGCCTGGACAGGCCTGTGTGGGTGGGTTTGGGCCTTTCTATGAAACACCCACCTGACTTCAGTCCACCTGCCCCGGGTGTTGAGCCACACGCATCCTGGAACAGTCAGGGCGCTTCTCAAGCGGGACGGGTTCCCATAAGGAGACTCCTGCAAACCTCTCCCTTCCCGAAGAACAGGATGTGGCTGTGCGTTTATTACTGACACTGGATCAGAAGGATAGATCCTTTCTCAGAGCCCAAATGAGACCCATCAACACACGCCTATCATATACCTTTTGTTAGTTTTATACTAAAACTGGCAAAATATCTGCTAATCCCTCCCAATAAACAGCCCACGGGTTTGAAGGCAAAGTCAGAGTTATTACCTAAAAATGTTCCATCTCTGTTTTACTCCATTAAAGGAACTGCTGACGTGACAACACCCCGCCCCAGACTTCACACACAAATGCTCCTGAGCGCTCATGTGCCCCGAAGCTGTGCCTGTGAACCCTCCTCAAGAAGTTTCAGCTGGAGAGACAGGGAAGAGTCCTGCACGGTACACACCTAGCTTCCCCTACGTTCCTTCCACGCACACGCGTCCCCCTTATCTGCAGCCACCTGTGGTCTGTTAACAGATGCTCGTGCTCCGGCCCCACGGTGCGATCGGCAGCGGCCTCGCCCGAGCCCGCAGGCCCGCACCCCTCCCCTCCCTCCTCTCGTCAGGTCGGCGCGTCACCATCTCACGGCGTCACCACAGAGGGGAGTAAAGAGCAGTAAGGTTACTCTGAGAGACCCGGTCACGGACCTTCCAGTACAGTGCGCGCTGTAACTGCTGTTTTATCATTAGCCGCTGCTGGGAACCTCTCACTGCACATCGTTTATGAACATCACCATGGGTCAGTACGTCTGGGAACACAGGTGGATGCGCAGTGTTCAGTCCCGTCTGAGGTTTCAGGCATCCCCTGGGTCCCTGGGGGTCATGGAATGTGTCGCCTGTGGATAAGGGGGCCTGATGTATAAAGCACTTTCATCCTTCCCAGCAGTACGTTTATCTGTACTGGTTCCAGCAGCTTTACAGACCCAGGACATTTGCTACTCAACGAGATCCTAGTGTTGGACAAAGCCACCTCAGCTGCCTGGTTTCTCCCTCCACAGGTTTGAGGGGAGAAGTGCAGCCTGTTTCATGAGACGCGCGCAGAGAAGTGGGCTCACAGATGCGCGGCACTCTGAGATTCCCAGGCAAAGGACGAGTATGCTCGGTGAGCACTAAAGCCACGGTCAGCCTGCGGGAGTGCTGCTGTTCCTGTGGCCACTCAACGCCCAAGAGCCCCCGAAGTCTCCTCTGGACCGCTCAGACAGCCGCGAGAAGCGCAGGGCTTCTGCTGGGCCTGACTCCAGAACCGTGAGGAGGACCGTCATCTGGTCGCGGCAAGTGACCACCCCAGACCTAAGAACTTCATTTACGGTTCCACACAGACTCCTGTGGGCACTCAGAAAGACGACAGGGAATACGTTTTGTTCTTCCCACCCGCACCTGCGATGATCTATCCAATTACAAGGGAAATGAGCTCATCGTCAACGTGCTGTGCAAATGCGAAATGCACTGGGAGTTCCTGTAGGACCTGGACTCCGAGCTGAACCCGCCAGCCCAGGAGACACAGAAACGGATGACTCAGCTTTCTGGTTACATCAGCAACCGTTCCCCAGAGCACAAGCAGCGGGGCCTTCAGCGAGAGCCGTCTTGCTCCGCCAACTCCGTCAGCACCGTCACCCTTGCCACGAAGCAGGTCTTCAATGACAGGACAGCCTGGACCCACACAAACTACTCCCAGACCAGAGCCTTCAAAAAGGCAGAGAACATTCTAGCCTCAGTCCACTGTGCCTGACAACGCAAACACCCTGCCACCAATCCAGCAATACCGACCCGACGGTCTTGGAGACAAATGACCGTGGGCAACTGTGGAGAACAATCTGAACTCGTCTCCTATCACGGTGCCAGGCTCCCCGCGGGACTGCAACTGCCGCACAGCCGGCCCCCCCGGGCCACAGCAGCAACAGCGCCGGCCCCCCCGGCCCCAGCAGCAACAGCGCCCGCCTCCCCCGGGCCACAGCAGCAACAGCGCCGGCCTCCCCCGGGCCCCAGCAGCAACAGCGCCGGCCCCCCCGGGCCCCAGCAGCAACAGCGCCGGCCTCCCCCTAGGAGCAACTGTGAGAGCTGCCAGGTCACGTGATCCAAAGAGAGCCGGCTTGGGCTCTGCAGATAGATGTGAGCAGGGCGGACACTCCGGGCTGCTTCTTTGGAAGATGTCTGCCCCGTGGGTAGATGTACCAAGCAGCCCAGCTTTAATTCCTGGGCACTCCTTGAGAAGCAAACATCACAGGCAACACCGAGGCCCAGCCGTCCATATGGCCCTGCAGCCCTGCCCTACTTCCTGGGGCTGGCCTCACACCTCATACTTCACGAGGAGTACTGCTCCAAGTCCGGTGCTCGAACCACCACCAGCCCATGGCGGGGACCGATACCGGGCAGTGAGAGAGCAGCAAGGAGCTCTGACAGCAAAGTGACACTGCGGTGACATTTTAATCTTATTCTACAAAAATAATGGTCTGGGAAGAACTGGAAATTACAAAACCTGGTTCTTTAGCATAACTGACTCCTACAAGCACTTCTGGACAGGGAACAAGAATCTGAAAGACCCCCCTGAGCACTGGGTTTCAGAGTCCGAAGTCAATCTACAGTGTCTGTTTACACTAAGCACTTTTATCTCCCGAACAACCTCAACCCCGGGGTAGCTAAGTGAGGAACCCCACCCAGTCGGGTACAGTTCCTCTCTCCAGGCAACGGTACTAGGCTCTACGTAGACACAGGTTAGTGGTCGCCCCAAGAAAACGAAATTACGTCTCTCAAGTTGAGCAAAGTCAGATGGTGAACTACGTGAGCCTAACCCCAGGCCTGACTCTGTCCTGGGACAGCAGCTGTCCTTCCGCCCAACACCCACCGAGGACTGTCTTATCAAAGCAAGAGGGAGCGGCCTCTGGGTCGCCAGGCAAAGGTCACTCTCACGGGCCAACGCTGACAAGGCAACTGACGCAGGCTCACAGCCGCTCAGGAGAGCCTCTCCCAGCTTAAGCCACCACCCTAGGAAAGCTTCACCAGTTCAGGCCACTGGTCTCTCCCCGCGGCCAGGCAGCCGCCACTCCGGAACCCCTACACTGTGCCGGACATCCTTGCGCGTTGCTCCTGAGGGAAAGGAAAGTCCGTGAGAGGAAAAACATGAAAACCGAGTACGAAGAGGTTACTAAGCTTAAGCTCTCTAAAGGTGTTTATGTGCGTTAGGACGTCAGACCGCACAGTCCACCCAGGTAACACGTGGGCAGAGGCGGCCACCCCCGATCAATGGAGTGACGGGGTCCAGCAGGGCATGGGCAGGAAGAAAACCTCCATTCCGCCAATCATGAATGACAGAGGCAGGGGGTGGGAGGGCCCCGAGGACCCTTCTGCCAGCCTCTAGCAGATAGACGTGGACAGGACAGACGGAACGGCGGGCTCGCAGACACTGGCGCTCCGGCTGAACAAAACGGAGGCTGTGCCACCTGCAGCACGGCCGCGCGCACTCCCTTCTTCCCTCCGCACTACCGCTCAGAGAACGCGCGGTCCACGTGGAGAACACGGCCCTCCCCGTCTTCCACGTTAGGAGGTGTACAACAGGTACACTGACCCCAAGTGAAAGGGCTCCTGGTGTCCAGCGCCTCACAAAACATCGCCTCCGGCAGCGGGACCGAAACGCGTGCGAGCTAAAGCTGAGGGAGGCGCAGGGCTGGGAAAGCTTGCCTCACACCCACCGGCCACACCGAGTCCAGGCAACGTTCCGCCTCAGTGTGTGCTGTACGGGACACACGAGCTCCAAAGCCTTCCCAGCCCGGCCTTCCCGAGAGCCTTGGGATCTGGTGGGCTTGGAGGCAGACGGAGGATCAGGACCACACATTCTGGGGTCCACAGTGGCCCAAGTCCAGTACATACACTTTCTGAAGTCCAGGCATTGGAGAAACAGTCCCCACGTACTGTCCCCTTTAAAAGGGCAACTGTGGGAAGGACTGCAATGACTGGCAGGGCACGGGGCTGCCCGACCGTGTCAGTGCAGCAGGCCGCTGGGAAGGCAGGCCAGCACTGGCCCTCTTGGTCCACACGGCCCTCAGCAAGTTGAAAGACGGGCCTCCTCGCGCTTTCCAACCTGTGAGCGCACAGGAAGTTCCAGGCGGAAATCCAAGACCCCACATGCCAGGACCACAACGTGGTGAGCCTGTCCAGAGGAGTCCAGCGTGCTCTGATCGGTCGTGCAATGACAGCGGAAGTGACTTAAGTTGTAATCGCACCAGAATATGGGACACACGACAATTTTCAAGATATGAGGACCCAATTCCTTAACTTACGCCTTTACCTACACAGGAAAAACTGGTGTGGATGACGCCCTCCCTCCAGTGGTCTCCGGAGCAGCCAACTCTGACCCTTAACCACAGCAGCTGGTGAGCTTTCCCGCACAGCTCATTCCAGAAACAAGGTCGCCCCTCCTCCGAGGGGCTGCGCTCAGACTGAACCCTCCACTGTGTGGGCCAAGAGCCGCCGCCAGGAAACATCAGTTGTGTCTTAGGTGCGCCTCGAAGGATGGGCCATGGGGCTGCTGGGAGCAAGGGCATGAGAGGCACAGCGCATCCGTCCTGGGGACAGAGGACAGGTCAGCCTGATCTGCGGACCGAGAGCTACGAGGTGCGGCCCGAGGTCGCAGCGGCAAACACGCAGACGGCTCCCGCAGCAGCGTGGGAAAGCACAGAGCGGGCGAGCACCCGGGCACAGAAAGTCCGAGACAGCCCCTTCCTGATTCCCGCGCAAGGGTGGCTAATGGGCGGATTTCCAGTGGGGCTCCTGCACCCTGGGTTAAAACTCCAGCCAAGGGGCACCCAGGGGGGCCCAGGTCATGATCCCAGGTCCTGGGATGGGGCCCCGGATCCGGCGCCCTGCTCGCAGGGAGGCCTGCTTCTCCCTCTCGCACTCCCCCTGCTTGTGTTCCCTCTCGCTGTGTCTCTGTCAAATAAATCTAAAAAAACAAAAAACTTCAGCCAAAATTTACTGTTCTATAAATAACGCAAACCGTTTACATTCCGCGGCGGCTCTCCCCGAGCCAGTGCGCGAGGACGCAGCCGGGACGACCGGCGAGAAACGGCTCTGCAGCGAGCTGGGGTCAGCAGCACGGGTCAGCGGGACGGCGGGCGGAGGCAGCGCGACCCCGCCGGCAGCCGGGACGGACTCCACAGACGCGCGCGCCTCTGACACGGCACCCAGCAGGCCCGGGGCAGGAGGGCAGGCTGGGGCGGGGCCCCCGCCAGGTACGCGGCCCCGCACAAGGCAGCACAGCAGGTCTACCCCCACCGTGCGCCCGGCCTCGGACGCGCGCCGACCCGCAGCGACCCGGAGCTTCCTGCCCCGGGCTCTTCCGACCCAGCAGAGCGTCCTGGCGTTGGAGGCGGCCTCGCCAGCACAGCGCCTTGCTACTCCGCCCGCCTCCAGTTTCGCCAGCAGGGCAACGCCGACTTCGGCCGGACTCCCTCAAATCCCACCCGGCTCCTGCCCCGTGCGCAACCTGCACTTCGGGACGGCCCGCCCCGCCCGGGGACCCGCCCCGCCCCGGCGACCCCGCGGAAGCCTCGAGCCGGCGCCCTGGACTGTCCCCGTGCCCACCCCCACGTGCACAGGACGCAGGGGGCCGCACACCCGCCCGGTGGCTTTGTCTGCCTGCAGGGACACCCAGGCGCGGACACCGGGCGGGCGGGCCCCGGCGGGCAGCCGGGGGCGCGGGCCGAGGCTCAGGGCCACTCCCCGGCGGCCCCGGGCGCGCGTCTGGGCAGGTGCCCCCGGGGGCACGGGCCGGGCCCCACCGAAGGGCCGAAGAGTTCGGCCTCCCCACACCCGCCTGGGGGGCTGCGGGGGCCCGGATCGGGCGGGGCGAAGGGGGGGCGGGCCCGGTCCCAGCCGCAGGCCGGGGAGGAGGTCCCCCGGGCGACGGCTGGACGACGGCCGAGGGGATCTGTCCCTGGGTCCCCGGGTCCTCGGAGCCGGGTCCCCGACCCGGGGCCCAGGGGGCGGGGGCTGGGCGGACGCCCGCCCGCCCGGGGGGCGGCCCCGGCCCGGGGGGAGGGGCGCCTCACCGAGATAGATGTCTCCGAAGGAGCCGCTGCCGATCTTCCGGCCCAGCCGGTACCTGTTCCCGACTCTGAGCTCCATGGCGGCGGCGGCGGCGGGTCCGGCTCGCTCCTGCCCTCCCGGCCGCTTCCTGGGTCTGAGCTCGGGGAGGCGGCGCCGCTGCTGCCGCTACGGCGGGTCGGGCTGCCGGCTCCGCCCCCCTCACGGCCCCGCTTTCACCATCGCTTTCCGGCCGCCCCGCTGCTCCCAGCGCCTCAATACGGGGCGGATGGGACAGTCCGAGCGCCGCCGCCCCTGCTCCGGCCCCCGCCGACCCCGCTCGCCCTCTCCCCGCCGCGGATGGACTCGGATCTTCCCGGCCTAAATCCCTCTTCAGCTGCCTGAAGGAGCCGCCGCCATCGCGCTATGACGTCACTTCCCCTAGCAACCCGGCGGGGCGGGGCCACGCTGCCCGAGGGGCGGGGCCATGGCTTCGGGCGGCGGGGCGGGGTCTGGGCGGGGCGGGGAGGGGCCAGTGCGCACCGGTCTCCTCCGGACCCCGGGACTCCCAGGCCATCCCCGTTTCTCTCTTTGCCTCGCCGCTGCACCCCGGCCCGGGAGACCCCCCCCCCTGCCCGCTCCCACATGCAGGCTCCACGTGCTGGCGCGGGGGCTTCGTTTGTCCTGGCAGGTGTCCGGGAACCCGCGGCTCCCCGCGACTGACTCGGGACGGGCCCCCAGGCAGTGATTTTTGCAAGAGGGAAAGGAGGGAGCCGAGCTTGTCTGTCCGTCCAGGTCCTGGCACCCGCAGGACACAAGCTGGGACACAGGGACACAGGTGTGCGGGGCCTCTTGGGCTGCCCGTGGTCTACCGAGCAGCTCCCCTCCAGTCCTGTGTCACCTTCCCTGCTGCGCAGCCGGCTGCTGTCCTCCCACGTCTGACATCTGTCTGGTGGTCTGGTCCTCCGCGCTCAAACCTGGAGCCTGCTGTCGGACCCGAAAGGAGAAGGTGAAGCTACCAGGGCCTCAGTCCCATCTTCCTGGAAACCGAATCAACCTTTTCATATCGTTTGTATTGGACCTGAGTGTTCTTCCTTGGGAAAGAAAACAAGAGTGCTAAAGTTGAGAATGGCCACCAGCTTCAAAGACCCAGAGTCCTGATTCTGACCACTGGGAAGGAAGTCCTCCAGAGATGCGTCCAAAGCAAGAAGGACTGACCATCATGGCATCGCTTCTCGAGGCCTGTGCCCACCCCATGTGGAAAGGGAGAACCATCAAGCATCATGTTTTGTTTTGTTTTTAATATTTTTTAAAAAAATTTTTAAAGATTTTATTTATTTATTTGAGAGAGAGAGAGAGAGACCATGGGAGGAGAAAGGTCAGGGGGAGAAGCAGACTCCCTGCCAAGCAGGGAGCCCAATACAAGACTCGATCTCAGGACTCCAGGATCATGACCTGAGCCAAAGGCAATCGCTTAACCAACTGAGCCACCCAGGAGCCCCAAGCATCATGTTAATACACACTTCTGAACATCTAGTGGATACCCACTGCTCCGTGCACAGGGTCCCGGCAGGTGTGGGCGAGACAGCAGCACAAGCTGACCTTCCTTGGGGTGGCCAGGAAGAAAGCAGGGGAGTCAGTGCCCTCCCCCCTGCACAAAGCAGGCGGGTTCTCCCCTGGCAGGTCTCCCCTTTCCAGCAGTCAGTCTCAGGAGTGCAGCCCCTGCCCCCAAAAGGGCTGGGGAGGCTGGTATCAAGTCCTGAGAGGTGTGTAGCAATGCCTAGAGACAGGAGAGGCTGGGAATGCCCCATGGCCATGTGTCAGCCTGGTTTCTCTGTCTCACAGGGGGGGTGGGGGATTTTGTCAAACCAGTAAAAATAGGTTGTTGGCAGAATTCCCAGATGAAAAGGGGCCTGTTCCCCCTCCCAGAAATCCACGAGTACAAACTGGGAACAGAAAGGGGCCTGGAAGTACAGTCCACTAGCCACTCCCTTAGGTGCCCTGGGCTGATCACTGTCCAGCAGTCCACCCTGGGGACTAACTGTCCTCTCTCAAAAAGAAGCTGCAACTCTTTGGGCCTCCCCCAGGTCCCAGGGTCCTGCCCATGTCACGCATTTATGCTTGGACTTGGTCAGGATAACCAGCCGACAGCAGGACCAAAGTCCTTGTTTGTGTTTTACTCCTCCTAATGGGGGAGTACCCGGAAGGAAGAGACTGCACAGGACCCACGACCGGAGGCACCTTCCTCAAGGAGCCGTTCACCAGGGCCTGTGCCAGGCACAGAGGCCTGTTACCCCCGCACCATGCTGCAGGCGGCCTGCGCCAGAGGCTACAGCTGTCCCCTGCACATTCCTTAGTTTCCCGTTTGTGAAGCACCTTGGGGTGTGGGTGGGGGGGCTTGCCAAGGCCGCGCTATGACAGATGCTCCCCCACTTGCAGCCTCCAGAGGCCAGGATGCCTCGGAATGGGGCCGACCTGGCTGGTGAACTCTCCAGAGTCCTCTCTGTCCTCACGTGCTCTGCCATTCACTTGTACGGGCCGAAGTCCATGCCCCAGACCCTTGGAGTGTGGCCGGTGAGAGCACCAGGAATAATAGAGCGAGAAGGCTGGCACAGGTGCGCCTGTGGTCTTGTTGGGAACAGCCTGACCCGTGTCCCAGCTCACACTGACCTCAGGCAACACCTGCAACTGCCACTGGCACGTAGTGGGCCCTCAGCAAACCCGGCTTCGTGAATGACTCACACTCCCGAGCCAGGCCTTTGCCGCTGGGGCGGCCTTCCCCGGCCTCGCCCTGGGTGGGTTTCCCTGTCCCCTTCACGGCTCACTGGCCCCTTCTGGCGAGGGCGCCTGCCCGTGCCGTCTGCTCCCTCGGAAAGGCCAGCCCCCGTCTCCCCGGGTGTGTTCCCAACTGGGCTGGGGGCTCCTCCGCCCCTCCCGAGGGTCTCTCCCGCCAGACCCCGCCCCGCAGGCCCGCCCCCGCTGCGCCCCACCCCCAGACACGCTCCGCCCCTTGCCATAGGGGAGCCGCGCTTCGCGGGCGGCAGAGCCGCGCGTGTCCGCAGACCTTTCCCGCTCCCCCCGGCCCTGCGGTTTCAGTGGACTCTGCCGGACCCACTGTCCCCTCCGCTTCCACCCAAACTGCCTCTGGCCTCCTGGGCAGCCCGGAGGCCTCGGAGGACAGCGGGTCCCGCCGCTCCGCCGTCCTCCCGCGGAAGCAGAGCGCGAGCAGGCGAACAGGGAGCGCGTGCGCCGCGCCGTGGGGGGCCGCCCTCGCCCGCCGTCGCGCGTGTGTCTGCGCGTGGCCGGACACGCGTGGCCGGACTCGCTGTTCAACTCGCGCATTCGCGGGGCGCAGTGCAGGGCGTTCGTGCGTTCGCGGAGCGCGCGACCGTCCCCGCCGTCCGCTTTACGATTCCATCACCGCGAAAAGAAGCGTGTGCCCGCCCCCGGGCCCCGCACCGCAGGAACCACCCGGGCCCGCGCTCTCGCTCGCCGGGGTGGCGGGGGCTGGCACCGGGCTGCGGAGGTTTGTGGTTTCTCGTCCCTGCGAGTGCACAGTCCTCCTCCCACAGCCGGCCTCGGGCCTGGGCTCCTGACAGACTCTGCAGTCTCGGGAAGGAGGAGGGCGGTGTGCGCACGTGTCCTTGGACAGGTACCTGGCCCGGGGCTGGGGTCCCTGCCGTGCGGGGTGGGCTCAGAGCTCCTCCCCTCTGGCGGGTGTGCGCTGGGTTCCGGTAGTTTTAGCTCCTCTGACCTGAAAGAAGGTGACGCACTGGTCCTGATTCGCCTTTCTCTGCCGCAGGTCGCAGGTCACAGGGCAGGCCCAAGGATCTTACCCTGGAGCTGATGAACGGGGACTGAATCGTCTGCACAAATCATGAGGACCTGCGGCTCCCCTTGGCCAGAGCTTGGGGCAGCTCTCGGTCACTGACAAGAGGCTCACACCTGGAGAGAAGGTCACCCCAGCGGCCACCTCTTCGTCTGGGTCCCCTGGGAGCACAGAGGTGAGCAGGCTTCTCGCTTCTGCTCCGGCGTGACAAACCACAGCGACGCGAGGGCGCTATCCCCTCAGCACTATCTTTGCCAGATGCAGAAACTGAGGCGGAGAAACTGAGGCCCAGAGACTGTCCGGCTAAAATTTCTAGGTTTTCCGGGCGGCTGCAATTTAAAATATCCTGTATGATTTTTTTTTTTAAGATTTTATCCATTCATTTGACACAGAGAGACAGCACCAGCGGGCAGAGGGAGCAGCGAGCAGAGGGAGAAGCTGACTTCCTGCTCAGCAAGGAGCCCTGCACCTCCCCAGAGGAAGAGCTGCGGAGGAGGCAGGAGGAGCACCGCCTGCTGGCAGGGTAGGGAAGGGTAGGGGAAGGGCAGGGTAGGGGAAGGGTGGTGTGGGACACCCTGAAGCCAGTAAGCCAGAAGGGCCCAGAGAGGCAAGAATGATACACAAGGATGGTACAGAAGCCGATCTCAGGACAGGGAGGCAAAGGGATAAGGGGCCCTCTGCCAGCCCCTCCTGTATCTGCATGTGTGCGTGTGTGCACGCCGGCATGCACAGGTGTGTGTCTGTGTGCAGAGAACACTGTGTATGTGTGCATATGTGTGCACCACCAGAGAAGCAGGCACCACACATAGACGCGGGCATGCATGTGTGCACCTGTGAGCTCATGCTGTGCACATATGTGCACACACGTGCCCATATACCCATGCATGTGGGCACACATGCTTGCATGCATGCTGGTGTGTAGTGGGAATGACCATTGCTCTGGAACTGGGGAAAGGAAGTGCTAAGTAAAGACTCTGTGTGGAAAGGACCACTGGGGTGGGGGGGGGTGAGTTCTAAAAAAAAACTGGAAGTTGGGGGCAGGGACTGAGGGGAGTAGACTTTCCAGAGGTCTCATTATAGGCAGGGAGGAGGGGAGAAAAGGGGAATAAATGTCTTCTAGAGATTTCATTTTGTTGGCCACAGCTACATGGCCACAGGCACTGTTCGGAAGCTCAAGTCCCATGCAGGAACTGCCCTGCTTAAAACCAGCGCACTCCTGGTGGGAGTGCCAAGCGAGCAGCCGTTTTGGAAAACTGGAAAATGGTTTGGCGTTCCCTCGAAAAGGTGAAGGTTGGAGCGCCTGGGTGGCTCAGTGGGTTAAGCCTCTGCCTTCAGCTCGGGTCATGATCTCGGGGTCCTGTGATCGAGCCCCGCATTGGGCTCCCTGCTCAGCAGGGAACCTGTGCCCCCCCGCCCCGCCTGCCTCTCTGCCTACTTGTGATTTCTGTCTGTCAAGGAAATAAATAAAATCTTAAAAAAAAAGAAAAAGAAAAGGTGAAGGTAGAGTTTCCGGGTTACCCAGCAGTTCCCTGGAGAACTGAAAACACCTGTCCACGCAGCAACATGCCCGCAAGTGTTCATAGCAATGTTCTATTAGGTATA